CAGCTCAGAGATCTGCTTCAGGCCCAGAGAAGAGCCCACGTAGACCCTGTCTGGGGAATGTTCTCTGCTTTATGAGATCTGGTCTGGGATGATTTGTCAATCCAGAGTTCTGTGATAAATTCAGAGTCTATCCCACTGTGGACTTGTTGCTGGGGTTAGAGAAGATTCTGTATATCTTCTGTTCTTAATTTCCCTGGATCTGATGACATTAAACTTCTGTCTTGAGAAAACACGGTGAGCTAAGAGGCTGAAAATTTTGTTTTGTCTGAAACTGCATATTCCTTCAGCAAGCATTCATTTAATCTCAATGGCAACCTGAATGCCAGTGACCAGGGAATGTTAGGATTTGGCTGCTTTTCTAGCAGCCAAAATTGCATGTGCTTTTTTCTTTTCTTTTTTTTTTTTTTACACAGGGGGCTTGCTATGTAGCCCAGATTGGCCTCAAACTCACAATCCTCCTGCCTCCACTTCCCAGGTGCTGAGATTACAGGAGTGTATCACCACAACTGGCTAGGTTCTGTATATCACAGATCCTTTGGGAACTAATCCAAGCAACTTTAGCAATTCTGATTGTTAGAAAACCACTCCTTGACACAGTTTGTTCCTATGGGTTATGTATAATGGTCCCTTACTCATCCCTGCTGCTGTGGCCAACTGATTTCTCCTCCTCTACTTTTCTACCAAGCCACCTCTTCTAGGTTCTAAACCCACTTGTTTAAAATAAAAGAAAAACTACCTCTGACTGGTCCTGGGTTATTGTTTTTAAAATGTCTTTTACTAGCTTAGCCCTTCAGTTTCTACAAAGCACACTCTGGATATCATGCTGATTTCAGGTTTGCAACACCCTGCTGTGGCAAACAGGAGACAGGCTATTATGCCTTAATAGCACGGGGTTCAGAGTCCAAATCCCTTACACAAGATCCCACACCACTGACTAATGGCCCTAGGTGTTCTGCCTCCAGCATCATTAGGGTTTTTTCTTTCAATTGAAAAAAAAAGACCTAATTTTTTCAAGCAGTTTAAGGTTCACAGCAAAACTAAGTAGAAAGTACAGAGTGTTGCCAGGCTGATTTTCTTTTCATTAAAATATGCTCCAAAGTAGCATATAGCATAAGAAATATTTTGAATATTTCAGCCCTTTTAAACTTGAAAAGCTAGTTATAAATTCACCCAGAAGAACTATCTGGTGAAAATAGTAAAGATTCTTCTACATAGAAAGAGTAACCAGAGTAGATTTGTTGCACAGACAGTAAGATAGCGATAACTAACATGTATTGAGTAATACTCGTGTTAGGGATCTTTACAACAACTCTAAATGGTAGCTATTATTATTATTATCCCATTTTACAGATGAGGAAAGAGAGGCACAGGGAAATCAAATGAATTTCCCAAGATCACATGCATTGATGAATCTGGGATTTTAACCCAGTAAGTTGGGCTTCCAGGCTTCTTTCTTACACCATTCTGTGACTGCCTCTCTTGTGTTTATATCATCTGAATAATTAAAACAGCTGAAGATAATGTATACAAGAGTAAAGATATAATGAAGCTGAGAGCTCAAATCAGTGGGCGACAGGAGGTATATTCGATAAATGACTCTAGAGAGGTAATAGAATGTTGTAGTTAAATGCACTGGCTTTGGGATCAGAGAGCTCTAAGCTAACACAGCAGCTCACCCACCTGCTTGCTCTTTACCCTTGCAATAACAAAAGCAACTCTGGCTGGGGGTGCAACTCAGTTGATCCCCAACTGAGTTGGCATATTTGCCTAGCATTCCTGAATTCAACCCCCAGCAATGCCAAAAATAAATAAACAAATAAATATAAAACCAAAAAACAACAGCGAACACATGGAAGAACATAAGTACTTCACTACTGCCTCACACAAGACAAGCACTTCATAAACATTGGCTATTATTATTGGCACTATTAGCTGTAGTTATCATTGGCAAGGAAGGAATAAAGCTAGAGTCTCACTACTTTACACCACGCACACAATTTTCAGTTAAATGTAGGGGGAAGAAAAGAATAAAAAGGAAAGTATGGTAGATCTATCTAATCTCAAAATGGGAACAGGTTTCTCTAGTTATAGAAACAATGGAAAAATACTTAAAAACAAAACACTGACAATTGCACAATAATAAAAGCTAAAAGTGCCTACCTTGCAAGTGTGCAGAATCAATATTGTGAAAATGGCTATACTACCAAATGCAATCTACATGTTCAATGCAATTCCCATCAAAATACCAATGACATTCATCATAGTGATTGAAAAATCAACCCTAAAGTTCACTTGGAAGCCCAAAAGACTGTGACTACCCAAGGCAATACTGAGTAAAAAAGAGCAATGCTGTTTAAACTATACTACAAAGCAATAGCAATAAAAACATCATGGTCCTGGCACAAAAACAGATATGAAGACCATTGGAACAGAATAGAAGACCTGGATATGAATCCACACAGCTATGCCCACCTGATTTCTGACAAAGGTGCCAAAAATATATGATGGAGAAAAGTCAAGCAGTCTGCAAAAAACTGAAACTAGATCCATGTATATCACCCTATACCAATATTAACTCAAAATGGATCAAGGATCTTAATATCAGACCACAAACTCTAAAGTTGGTACAGGAAAGAGTAGGAAATACTCTGGAGTTAGTAGGTATAGGTAAGAATTTTCTCAATGAAACCCCAGCAGCACAGCAACTAAGAGATAGCATAGATAAATGGGACCTCATAAAGCTAAAAAGCTTCTGTTCATCAAAAGAAATGGTCTCTAAACTGAAGAGAACACCCACAGAGTGGGAGAAAATATTTGCCAGCTATACATCAGACAAAGGACTGATAACCAGAATATATAAGGAACTTAAAAAACTAAATTCTCCCAAAACTAATGAACCAATAAAAAAATGGGCAAGTGAACTAAACAGAACTTTCTCAAAAGAAGAAATTCAAATGGCCAAAAAACACATGAAAAAATGCTCACCATCTCTAGCAATAAAGGAAATGCAAATTAAAACCACACTAAGATTCCACCTCACCCCTGTTAGAATAGCCATCATCAGCAACACCACCAACAACAGGTGTTTACGAGGATGTGGGAATGTAAACTAGTACAACCACTCTGGAAAAAAATTTGGAGGCTACTTAAAAAGCTGAACATTGATCTACCATTTGATCCAGCAATACCACTCTTGGGGATATACCCAAAAGTCTGCGACACAGGTTATTCCAGAGGCACCTGCACACCCATGTTTATTGCGGCACTATTCACAATAGCCAAGTTATGGAAACAGCCAAGATGCCCCAGCACTGACGAATGGATTAAGAAAATGTGGTATCTATACACAATGGAATTTTATGCAGCCATGAAGAAGAACGAAATGTTATCATTCGCTGGTAAATGGATGGAATTGGAGAACATCATTCTGAGTGAGGTTAGCCTGGCCCAAAAGACCAAAAATCGTATGTTCTCCCTCATATGTGGACATTAGATCAAGGGCAAACACAACAAGGGGATTGGACTATGAGCACATGATAAAAGCGAGAGCACACAAGGGAGGGGTGAGGATAGGTAAGACAGCTAAAAAACTAGCTAGCATTTGTTGCCCTTAACGCAGAGAAACTAAAGCAGATACCTTAAAAGCAACTGAGGCCAATAGGAAAAGGGGACCAGGAACTAGAGAAAAGGTTAGAACAAAAAGAATTAACCTAGAAGGTAACACCCACGCACAGGAAATCAATGTGAGTCAATGCCCTGTATAGCTATCCTTATCTCAACCAGCAAAACCCCTTGTTCCTTCCTATTATGGCTTATACTCTCTCTACAACAAAATTAGAGATAAGGGCAAAATAGTTTCTGCTGGGTATTGAGGGGGTGGGGGGGAGAGGGAGGGGGCGGAGTGGGTGGTAAGGGAGGGGGTGGGGGC